AAGATGAGGGCAGGAGCATCACAAGTTCAAGCCCAGCCTGGGCAACTTACTGATTTAGCAAGACTCTGTCTCAAAAATTAAAAGTAGAAATAGGTCTGGCTTTGTAGCTCAGTGTAAAGACCTTAGGTTCGATCCTCAGTAATAAAAACAAAACAAAACAGGGCCAGAGATAGCTTAGTGGCACCACGCCTACTTCGTGTAAGTGCAAGGTCCTGGGTTTGATCCCTGATATTGCAACAAGACAAACAACAACAACAAACTAAAGCCAAAGCTGATTTGTGACAGAAATTTTGAACCAAATTCTACTCAGCATGTATTTGTTAACTATCTACGTGTTTGCTCTTGGTAATGGGTCTTGTTCTGGTACACAATGTAGTACATATTTGCAATGAGAAAATCATAGTGGACAGTTATTAATAATAATAATAATAATAATAATAATAATAATAATAATAATAATACAGATATCACTGATTCATGGGTGCAAGAGTAGAAAATGTGAAGGAACAAGACAGTCCTCTCAGTGTTTGTAATACTTTTCACTCCTGGGGTTCATGTTCTTTCCAGTGAAGAGTACAATTGCTGAGTGTAGGAAGTCACTGAACTACTGAGTAACGTTTGTTTATTGAAGACTTTGACTGTGGCAGGCACTGTTGATAATGGAGCACAAATGTTAATAAAACAGACAAGAATCCCCGTTTTTATAAAACAATGAATGTAGGTGTGAGAGGGAGTGAGGACGGGGAAAAGCATATTCTTTGAACTCCCGGTCCCCTTTTGCTCCAAAAGACAACACATTAAATATTTGTAGCAGGAAGAGGCAGCCTTGAGGAGAACTTCAAAACAGAACAGAACAAAATGGCGGCATGCATTTTGCTGGGAGATATGAGCGGAAGCAAATCTGTTAGTTTTACCTTTGAGAGTGAGGAGACTGGACAATCCTTCTCATGGAGTTCTCTCCTGGGGTCAATCAAGGTGACGATTGACTCACCAAGCACAGAGCTTCCATCTGGTCCAACTGATTTCCTTTGGGGTTGGTTCTCCATGGCCAATGCTCTGTGAAGAGCTATCTGCTGGAGTGAGGTGCTGAACCACTACCTGCTTACCTATCCGGGTTTTCAGAGCCCAGTAGGAAGCACTAAAGTTACCCTGAGAAGCAATAGAATGTGATGGTTAAGACTGCTTAGAATCTTAGCTCCTTGGATTTGCAGTCTGGGTACTTGCTGGTTGGGTGATATGAGACAAACCATTTAGATGGCCTGTGCTAGCATTTGTTCCTGGGCAGTCTGAGAATACCAAGACCTGTCACTTACAGTAGTTATGAGAGTTAAAGGAGAAAGCACACATGCGGGAGTGGCCACTTTGTTACGTAGAGATTTGTATAACTATTTCTCAGCAAGTAATTTCCATTAATAGTCAAAACAAATAAAAATGAATTTAATCTAATTTAATTCATAAGACTCCATCCCATCGAAGAGTTGCCTTTAACTTTACTTCTGGCCCTAAGTGGGTGATCCAGTCTGAGTGTCTTGTTTTCAGCTGGCTCCAGTTCAAATGGTATGCACTGTGTCGGAGACTTACTTCTATCCCTCTCTTCTCTGTCCTCCTTCTGGAGAAGCTTCTGCATTGCCTGGACTCAGGGCTGCCTGGGGGCTTGCAGCAAAGGAAAGGAGAGGAGTGGACTACTTGTGAGCGAGGCCTGGCAGGCTTGTGGTTATTCTCAGGGAACTGGCTTTGCCCATCTGCTGGCCTCTATCTGGGTGGTGTATTTCATGGCTTGAGGGTACCGGCTGCAGATGATTTACAGTGTGCAGTAGCTCTCCCCACCTCGCGGAGCAGGTTCACCTTTTATGATCACATACTGTGGATTTCTGAGACCACGAAGATCCTAGCCAAAGCCCATGTAGGCTGTGGGAAGTGAAGAGCAAGGGTCAAGAAGGGGAAACTTTCCCCTTCCCCAACATGCATGACTTGGTCCAGAGAGCGACTGCCTATGCCCTGCTGCTCTGCAAACTCCAGAAGAGAGGTGAGGGCCAAGCTTAATGTTCTTAAATTCCCCCAAACATCAAGGTAACAATGCACAGTATCACCCTGTTCCCTATCACCTGTAGGGAGGAGGTAGAGGGAAAGGACCCGTAAGTAACATTTAGGATTCTGTTATCTCATGTCCCAAACCTCAATTGTTTGATTCCCAGTACTCTTGATTTTCTTGGTGATGCAAACGCTGATCCAACTCTGCTGTGTCCTCTGATGCAGAGTGAGGTTTTAGCCCTGTGCGGAGACTTCCTTTGTATGAGGAATTTTTGTATTTAGAGTCTTTGTTCTCAGTTTGATATTAACATTTCATGGTTGTTTGTTCTTGGCTGGAGGGCAAGGGTGGGTAGCGGTTGTTCAAGGGAGGTGGAAAGGACTTCTTTCTTGGTATCTTTCATGGGCATATTGCAGTCTCAAATCACTAAACACCCTGAACAATTATAAGCACTTATTATAAAATCTAAAAAATAAGGGTTTGACCTCAGGTGCCCATAACCTCTCAGTCATCAGGGTTACCAAATCTTTCATTAGTTTCTATAAGCTGTGGACTTCATGTGGCTGTGCATGGAGACTTTACAGAGATAGTCATATGCTTGTCTACTAAAGACTGCCAAGATTGCCAAACTTAGCAATTTGGTGAAGATGCTCACTTAAAATTAAATCTCACATAAACAACAAATACTTTTTCAAAAGGTATGAATGTGTCCATTTCAGATATGTAACATATTTTTAGGATGTTCCAAATATTATGTGGATAGTCTGCATCTAATCTGACTTTCCTGGGTCAAGTCCCTGCTCTCCTCCACTGACTGTTTAGGATGAATGCCTTTTTTTCAAATGCGATGGATACCCTCAGTTACTACATCACACCAAGGATCTGTCTGTCCTAGGCAAAGTGTGTATCTATTTTTAAAAATATTCAGAGCTGGGATTTATCTCAGTGGTTCTGCTGCCTGTCTCACAAGCATAAGGATCCGAGTTCGATCCCCGGTACCAAAAAATAAAAAAATAAAATATTCAGAGGTGAATTGGATGGGGGAGACGGATAGTCATTGACATTAGGACCCTCCTGTCTCTTCAAAACACTAAAAGTGAGTGCCTTTGCCCTGACAGAGAAGGGGCATGAAATGGGCAGAGTGTTTGTTTTCCCATGTCAGTCTGATCACAGAGAGAGTTAATATCGTGAAGTCTTATTCCATATTCTGTTTATACTGTAAAGGATAAATATGTTAGCCCTTTGAAAGATTTCTAATTATACTGCTGGAGCGTTGATGTCAGACTTTGAGATTAATATTACATCTTTTAAAGAGACCCAATCTCCTGTGATATTAGAGGAAGAAACATACATTGGCCTTTACATACAGCCATTGATGTTAGAGAATATTTATTTGAAAGCATAGTAACACTCATTTGATCAGTGCTATCATTTGGATTGAATGAATGAGCTTCAACTTAGAAAATGTCTTCTGACTTAGAAGGAGGATTACTACCTCTCTGATTTTTCTGTTAACAGTGACCATCATTAGTATTAGTGTCTGGTATAAAAGCCATGGTTATTTCTTATTTCTGGAAGCTGCAGAACCTTTGAAAGGTAACATAACGTTTTTTGTTTGGTCTTTTTTTTTTGTACCGGGGATTGAATTTGGGTCCTTGTGCTTGCAAGGCAGGCCACCGAACCGCTGAGCTAAATCCCTGGCCCAACATCACGTTTTTTAAGGTAGAAATTGTTTTATGAAAGTTCAAGGAAAGGGAGCTAATATATTTTGAGTGTCTCTTATGGATAAGGGCTATGTGTTTCACATGTATTCTGCGCTAACCACCAGCCTGGGGAGGGTGACAGACATAAGTAATCTTGCTTGAGTCATACAATTATCTGATTCTGAAAGTGCTTTACCTAATAGAATGCCATTTAAAATCTTTCAAACAGCTTTTGCCTCTGGTTACTTTGTCTTTCAGGAATCAGCAAACTTCCTAAATTTACTTTTAAACAAAAATAGCTGATAATTTCTACTGTAGCCAATATTTTGAATTTTCTTGGTATAGTTATCTTAATTTTCCCAATACTTAAAAATAATACCTGTTTAATAAAGTCAAGTTTATTTATTTTGGGACATCCATCCAACCTAGCATGTATTGTACACTTATTTTATACTTAATATACCATCTTAGAATTTGAAAAGTCAAACCTCCAATTTAAGTGAAAATGTTATATGGATATTTTTACTTTTGATTAAATATTTTAGTGATGAGAATTTATGTGTTTTTGAAACAATTTAATTAATAGATAACAGTTTGAAGTGAAGTCTGTACATTGAGCTGGTATTTGCCTTCCAGAAACTTTTAGTTATGGATCCTACTTCTGCCTCTTCAGAAACATAAATAATACCCCAGTGAACCCATATATTATGCTGGTAAAATGTCTGAATTTTTAGTAATTTTGTATTGTGAAACTTTTACTATCTGATCTTTAAACAGAGGATGATATTAAAATGTTTTGAATCATATTTATATGGGAAAATATAAAAGCAGAAACAAAAAGAAAAATGTATTACAGAAAAAATTAACATATATATGTGTGTGTGTGTGTGTGTGTGTATATATATAAATATATATGAATCAAAGCACCTTTATTCATCTATTTACCTATGAAAATTTAAGGAATTATATATATTTTCCTTAAATTTTATTTATATATCTAATTTTATATATATATATTCCTTACAAGCCCTTTTTTCTCACTTTTCTCGTCTACTTTTACCCTGTGATGTGTAAGGAAACAGAACTAAGTAAGTAGCCAACGTTCATTTCTTGGTTTTTCAGTACACTAGATAATGGCATTTGGATATCCTTTCCTTCAGAAAGGCTCCTATTGCATATTCGAGTGTTGCCCTTGTGAAACAGAACACGTCAGCGTGCTGTAAATTCACCCAGTTTTGTAATCGTGGTCTGACTGTCCCATCCCACAGATCATCTTCAGGAAAATCAGCGACGTGAAGAAGGAGGAGGAGGAGCGCCTCAGGCAGAAGAACGAGGTGACTCTCAGCATCCCCGTGGACCACCCGGTCAGAAAGCTCTTCCAGAAGTTTAAACAGCAGAAGGAGCTGCGGAGTCAGGGCTCGACACAGAGTGACCCTGAGAGGAACCAGCTCCAGGTAGAAAGTCGCTCCTTACAGAATGGAGCATCCATCACTGGCACCAGTGTCGTGACGGTGTCACAGATCACTCCTATTCAGACGTCGCTGGCCTATGTGAAAACCGGTGAATCCCTCAAGCAAAACAACCGCAATGCCATGGAGCTCAAGCCCAATGGCGGTGCTGACCAGAAATGTCTCAAAGTCAACAGCCCGATAAGAATGAAAAATGGAAATGGGAAAGGGTGGCTGCGGCTCAAGAACAACATGGGAGCCCAGGAGGAGAAAAAGGAAGACTGGAATAATGTCACCAAAGCTGAGTCCATGGGGCTCTTGTCGGAAGACCCCAAGGGCAGCGACTCAGAGAACAGTGTGACCAAAAACCCATTAAGGAAAACAGATTCTTGTGACAGTGGAATTACAAAAAGTGACCTTCGTTTGGATAAGGCTGGTGAGGCCCGGAGTCCACTCGAGCACAGTCCCATTCAGGCTGATGCCAAGCACCCCTTCTATCCCATCCCCGAGCAGGCCTTACAGACCACACTGCAGGAAGTCAAACACGAACTCAAGGAGGACATTCAGATGCTAAGCTGCAGAATGACTGCCCTTGAAAAGCAGGTGGCAGAAATTTTAAAAATACTGTCAGAAAAAAATGTACCCCAGACCTCTTCTCCCAAATCCCAGATGCCACTCCAAGTACCTCCCCAAATACCATGTCAGGATATTTTTAGCGTTTCAAGGCCTGAGTCCCCTGAATCTGATAAAGATGAAATCCACTTTTAATATATATATATATTTATATATATA